GTACGCTCACTCTAGCACCCCGAAATGTCCATCCTCTTTTAGGCAACTCGCGGGAACCCGACCGGGTAGAAGGATAACGCCAGTCACTCGAGAGCTGACGGACACCGCTGGCCTCAGCAAGACCTGATTCTCCGAACAAGGCCAACTGGAGGAGGTGGGTGCCGGCCACACCCTCTTCTGGAGCGGCTGTTCAGGCGGGGAGTGGCGTGATCCTGGCGTCGTCTTTGTCATCCGGAAAAAAGCCATAACCTACCTTGTCTGCCGCAGGACGTCAACAACCGTCTCGTGACGCTATGACTGCCTCTTAGTGGAGCCACATTCGATACCACGCTTAGCGACTAGGCTCTCTAAATGACCAGCTACGACGAGGTGATAAATAAGTTCTACGAATACCTGCACGTCCTCCCCTCCTGACGCAAAGAAAGTACGCTCACTCTGGTTGCCACGTGCAAGCGGAGACGATCCCACTGATTTCTGACGGGGCTCCGGCCTACTGCAGGTATATATTTGCGCAAACTCTGGCCAACTTCGAAGGCTTTTTTAGGTGAAGCTAAGAAGTTAACGCATTGTGTACATTACTCGTGCATCGGAAGTCAAAGTGAGGTTATGTAACAGATGTTTTCCGTTCTCAGTGCGGCAGTTTCCTCATTCTCCCAATAAGGGTACTGTTTAAAAACCGAGACACGTGATTCTCCGATGTTTTATCTCAGGTACGAGTGGGCTGACTTCTCGGTGGCTCCTTAATTTTGTTCATTTTTATCGAAATATGTAGACGACAGCTATGCCTCATGTAAATGGCAACACTTAGCACGTTCATTATATATGATTATGATGACTTCTTATGACAAGCCAGCATTGACTGAGTTAATGAAGATGAAATTTACTTTATTGTTTGTTGGTACTGCAGCACCACTTAAGAAACCTATCATGCTTGGAAACATGTACGATTCTGCACCTCGATGAATGTCTGCATGTTCCTTGTCAATAGCGCATCCGTTAAGCATAAAATGCAGCCTCCGTATCCAGTACTCGGTGATGCAAAATTCGGTCTGATTCCAGGTCGCCCGTGAGTGTGTCATTATCGAAAGTCTATTATCCTATTGGATAGACTTAAAGGCTCCCAGCTCTTTTTTCCGTGGTTTTCATGCGACAGTAGTATTGTGGCTGTCTGTGTGTTTGCGCTCACAGCGGTCTTGCCTGCACCGGCCTTTCTAAAAACCTTTGTAGCTAGCACTACATCCCTGGGCGTCTACCACTTTGAGGTAAGAAAAAAAACGAGATGGAGAGGATGAATCACCTGGTCATATAGGTGTCACCTGCTCCTACTCCTGACTCATTACGCGTGTAAGCCTTTGGCACTAACAGCCCACCCCAATCAGCGTCATCCCTCTGTGAGAACGTGCCGTAGATTCCGGTCTGTGATCAAGCATGCATTCTAAATTCAGACAGTACGCCGTCTGGGGAACCTCCTCCTCCTCCTCAATTTCGAAACAATCCAGACAGACAAACTTACAGCAACTAACACCGAACCGTTTCACTATACTGAGGCTTTTTAATTCCCTTAGAAATTAACTGCGAACCTGAAGTAGGTCAGTATGTTTAAGGTTTATAGGCTCAGACCAACGTTTTTATGTAGGAACAATCGGACCGAAGTCCATCAGCCACAGCGGATAACCGCATAATATTCATTAACTGCCGACGGGCAGATAGTAGTATACTTGAGGGTAAGGTGATTCCATAGTAACACCATAGCATACTATAGCACATATCCCGATCTTCTCATCTACATCGTTGCATTTGGGCGCGACCCCTGTGAGCGTGTTTTCTTGGGTTTGATTGAGTCGGCGCCACTGCTGATTCAGTCGGTTCAAGCCTTAACACACGAAGAAGCAGGCTGTTCCGTTCTGAAATCACTCCGAACCCTGATCTGGCAGTTCGCTTCCAATTAATTATCGTCAAAGTGTTCGAGAGTCTTACTTTTCTGGAGCCGACTTATGTCGGTTAGTTTAGGCGGGCCTATGGACGTGTCTGGGGACTGCGAAACTGAGTCTCAGCCGGGTTCCGTGTGGGAAATATTCACTA